CCCTAAACCCTAAACCCTAATGGCTGTCTTAGGGTTCAGACCTGCCCTGTGGGGTTCAGAATTCCTGGAACACGAAGCAAGACATCAAGTTTAGGGTTTAGGGTTTAGGGTTTAGGGTTTAGGGTTTAGGGTTGAGGGTTTAGGGTTCATGCTGAACGCAGGTACCACGGCCACCAGTGCCGTGGAAATGGTCAGCTCTGCCAAGGACCCGGAAGCCTGCAGCCGAAACCCCCAGACCCTAAACTTCAAAAACCCTCAACCCGAAACCTGTGAGAGTGTACAGGTCAGGAAATATTGTGGACCATTGCTTATGCTTCATAGTTTGTGCGCAGGATGTGTCTAACCAGCTTTCGACTTGCGTTAGCAAGTCGAGGTCGATGGGGTTCCCTGTAGCTGAGAAGGCAACCTTGGGCCTAAACAATCTTACTGTACGTGCAACCCCCCGCCGGCTATAATGAATCCAGCAGTGAGGGGCTACTGTTCAGGCTTGATGTTTTCAGGGTGGTCACTGTTTGTGTGTGATCTGCTATAGAGGCCTGAATGACTACCAATGCTTTTTTTTTTTTTTTNNGGGGGGTCCTAATTAAATAGCAAAACATACCGCAAACCTTATTCTTTTTCATTAAGGCCCGTACATGATAGGGTTGGAGCAACCCCAACGATGAGCCCAACACCCTCAACCCTCCGAATGCCGTAAGCCTTTCGTACAACACCCTGCCAGACAGCTCAAACCTTGCATGTAGCGCTAGATTGTGACCTCTTATGTAAACGTAGGGATTAGCTGCCGTGTCTCCACTGTAGTACCTTGTTGTGGTTAACCAGCTTTGATGCCTACGGTGAGGACGGATACCACAAGCAATGCCGTTTCAACCAACAAAAGTTAGAGCAACTACAATGGAGACTGAAGGTAACCCTCGAAGTCCACATGCTTGAGTCAAAGCGCGGAACTCGTGAACAGGAGCCCCAACAAGTAGATTTGCGAGTGTTGGGCTACAGGTTAGCCGCCCCACACCCTAAACTCTATTGAACCGCAAACCGAAAACCGTTAATGTAGGGGCGTAAACACTTACCAATACTATTTCGAGGGCTCAGAATATCCCTCAGCAGCGAGGGAATAGCTGTGTTGCCCCAAGCACCCAATCGGGGTGCGTTCGTCTTGGCGCGTTGCCCTCACCATCCTGGCATCGGCGCCGTCGAGCTCAGCGCTCGAAGACCAGAAGGGCGCTTCGTTGCGGCCTTCCAGTATCTGCCCGCCGTCTGGTACAACTGGACGGGCACCACGCGTCGGCTCCGAGTTTGCGGGAGCTTGTCCAGTCCCGGATGGGTCGAGGAAACAAGCCATGGAAGCAAGCGGCAGATGCGTCCGCACCGGCTGCTGGTTGGCAATACTGGCGGGGTGCGTGGTCACCGCAAGGCCGGGCGCCTTGGAAGCAGGATGTGGACCCGAGGAAGCCGGGCAAACCCTCAGCAGCATTCCCGACCTACGACGGGGTGCAACTGCCCAGCCAGACTCCTGGATCAGCAGGTCAGGGGACGCAGGCTGGTGCGGAGAATGGGGAGCGGATGTTGCCCACTATGCAGCATGCGCTGAACGATGCCAGGAAGAAGGAGACGAAGCTTTCCAAGTTGATCCAGACGAGAGACAGGGCGGCAGAAAAGTGGGCCCTGTACCACGAGCAGATGAAGCAGCGCTTCATTGCAGAGAGGAAACGATTCCAGAAGGACATGGACAGATACGATCTCGAGATCTCGGAGGCGGAGGTCTCTCAGCAGCAGGCGCGGGACCTCATCGTGACCTTGGTGCTGGAGAGCCAGCATGGCAAACCCACAGAGGATCGTGGCGCACAGGAGTGGGGGGCGGTTTTCGATGCCTGGACGGAGGAGGCGGAGGCCGATATGGATGGTGTTCTTCGCCGTGCCTTCCAAGACAGTGCCAGATGCACACCGCAGCGTATGCGGACAGCCGCTCCGATGACACCTGCCAGAGCCGTGCGGGAGGAGCCTCCAGCCCCTATGGAGGTAGAAGCCTGTGCACGGTACGACGATTATCCTTCGCCTCCGACACCGGCGACAAGTACGAGGCCGGGAGTGGAAAAGGCAGTGGCGGCACATCCGGGCCAGAGGGACCGCAGTCTCCGAAGATCCCCAGTGACCCTGGGCGCCCCCAGGGAGTCCATCAAGTCAGCTACGATGCAGCGGACCTCGCCCTCTGTGGCCAGATCCACATTTGCAGAGCGTGTGGAGGGGAGGAGATCGGCGTTGATGCCCTTTCGCCAAGCGAGGAACGACTCAGCGGAGCCCGCCGATGCCAACAAGCTTGCTTCTATGGTTCTGCAGGACGACGACGATACTGGGCAGGCAGACGACAAGGAGTCCGAGCTGGAGACCTTGGACGATTCCTGAACAGATCTGCGATGTACATAGGCCACTTGGTGTCTGCGGTTGGCAAGCAGCCTGAGGTCCGCCTATGGGACCCAATACCTTTGAGAGGGAGCACTGATTGGGTAGTGCTTTCCTTCTCTTGGTGTTTGTTGTCCCCTGGGCAAGGATCGGGTTGCTGTGGCGACCGTAGATTACATCATGTTTTCCGTAGTGCGTACTATGTACAGGTAGGCTGTGCATGCTGCGAGTCTGGACTTTCGCGGCTGAGAGGGCAACATTTTTGTGCAGAAGGCTTCCCGACTTCTTTGGGTGAGGTTATGGGTGGTTGGTGCTGCATTTGGGATTTGCCGTATGACGGCATTGCAGAGAGTACTCATTTGAAGGCCAGCACTTTCTGTGATGTTGCGGAACATGTCTGTGCCTTTCCCCCTCTTGATGTGGTGCCTAAAAGATGCATCGGTGGCTCAGGGGCATCTACCACTTTCTTGATTGGGGGTTCACGCTGCGATTTTGGCATTCAGCTATTGCTGTGGATTGCGAGCTGGGTTGTTCCATTTTGCAGGGCCGCTCTTGGCTTGATTGCCCTTGGCCTTTGGGGCCTTCTTGTTCGCAAGACTCCGGGGAGATGCTCGTTCTTCGGACGTTGTATTCGCTCCCCTGGTTTTGGTCATCGTGGTCGGTCCCTTGTCGCGCTTGGTGGCTGTGCCCTTCCGGCCCGTGAAGTGCTTTCTTGGAGGCCGGCACAGCGGAAGCGCTGCAGGCGACGCATGGGCGGAGGATCGGCTCTGCGATTTCTTGTTTGGCTTCTTGGCTTCTCCCGTTTGCCGACGTGTGTTTGGGCCGCTCCGAAGGGCCTTGAGCGCTTGGTTGGTCTTGGTGATGTTGCCAGTGGAAGCGGGGATCCGGCGGTGCGGGTGCCGGAGGAGTTACCAGTGGTCTCTAGTTTGCCGAGACAAGGTGCGCCGGAGGTCTATGATTCGTGCGTCAGTCCTCCAAGGGGCCCTCCTCCACCTCTTCCCGTTCGAACGGAGATCTATCCGCTACCGTTGCAATCCGCCCCGGTTGTGCTGCAGGAGCATGAGTTTGCGGTGTGGGCCTGCTCCCCCTTCTATCTGCCGGAGCAGTTTCATATGCCTTTGCGGGTGCCGTGTGACCTTGAGGATGCGTTGGATGTTGTAGGTCGATTCTTGAGGGATCTTGAACTTCCGTTCTGTGATAGAATCGTTGCAGTCAGGCCACAACCGTTGCCTAATGCCATGATGGTTCTAGTCACTCCGGACTGGTCGGCGTATTCTGCGCTGAGCGTGGTGTGTTTGGATTTGCGCGCCATGAGGCCGGAAGGAGATGGACCGCTGCTGGCGGCGTACGTGTCACGTCCTACGTCCTTTGCGGAGCTTGAGAGGGAAGCCGGTCTTTATGGAAGGCGTTGGTGTCAAATTTACATTGGCACCAGTCCCGACCCGGTGCAGCATGACGAAGACCTGCATTTAGAAACCGGTTGTCTTGTGACCTTCAGAAGTGATGAGCTTCTCCCTTGGGCAGCTTGTGACCTCAGACATAGGCTGCAATCTCCTCCTTTTTGGACTCTTGAGCGGTGTCTGCCTGCTTTCCCTGAGGCCAGAGGTGTCCTGCTCCTGCACACGCGGGGCAAGTTCCTGTTCAGGCGGGGACGTAGCGATATCCCGCCTGATGTCGCTGCAGCCAGGTTTGTTGGGGTTGAGCGTGAGGACGTTGAAATGCGTGTCCCCGATTCTGGCATGTTGCAAAGGGTTTTCTATCGGGGTATTAGAGTCAAGGGGGTTATAGCCATTGTTGAGCGTAGTGTGGCGCCGCAATTTGTGGTCTTCCTTGACATGAGGCAGGTCGGAGATGCCGTTCGATACGTTGTCTTGACCAGACCGTACTTGACGAAAGCGGAGTTGCTTGCGTTGCTCCCGAGGCGACCCCCCCCGAGTTGGAGGCTTCGTGTTCTTGGTGGACGCAAGCGTCGAGATCGGCTGGACATACGTGACAACGAGACCTTGATCTTTGGGTTTCAACATGATGTTGACTCAGACCAGTATGAGTCATACTATTCCACTTCCGATGATGGTGACGATGATCCAGGTGATGACGGGTCGGAAGGTTCGGAGGAGGAAGATGATGAGCACGGATCGTCTGACTCCACACGCTCGCGTAGCCGCAGAGGCCGCAGGCGTCAGACTCGTGATGTTTCCTCGGACAGGTCCTTTCACGGTAGCTTTCCTGAGGAGGACACACAAGGTGATCGGCAACGCGATGCCTCAGCTCACTGTTGGGGAACAGAGGACGCTTATGCCTTGGATGTTGGCCTTTCTTGCAGCGCCGTTTGCGCTATGCGTAAGGTTGACGTGTTGGCTGGTCCTTTTGCATTTTGCAAGGAAGGGCCAAGTCGCCTCTCTGTTGACTATGCTGCTTGGACACAGGTCGGGCTGGAAGGTGCCTCTGCAGTCATGTGGCCGTCTTGTTTTGGATTAAGTGCCGTTCTTGCTGGCAACAAGATGGATACCTCTGATGTCATGAGGCCAGGTTGGTTAAGTCTAGGTGAGGGGCAGTATAGGGACGGATGTCTCCAACAGGTTGCAAATGAGTGTCGGTTGCTGTCTGAGCCTCAAGGAGGTCGCGCCGAGGCTCAGGCAAGGCTTCAGGATCTTCGCTTTGTCACTACCGAATTGGGTGGCGCATGGCCATACTTTCCCAGTGATGAGCAGGGGAATGTGATGGGGTTAGGGCAGGCTCTTGTGGATGAGGTGGTTGTGGATCCCCCGGAAATGTGCTGGTTGCAGGTTTTGGTTTTGAAGCCTGACTATTGGCCAGAGAGGTTGTGGATTGCCCTGCGTCTCCCTTCAACCGTCGAAGAAGCACAGCGTGAGGTCCAGGCTGCTCGGGGCACTGTTGAGGTTGCTGCCTTTCCACACCTGCGTCCTGCTGCCCCTCAACCGGTTTCGGGCACATGCGTCTTTGTTGCTAACCCAGTTTGGTTGGGTCTGGCGATGACGGCTTGTGTTGATGCTCGGGCCGTCGATGGTCGCTTGTTTACCTGTGTTATGCCTGACTACGTTGATCGGGACGATGTGCTGCGCGTGATTGGCTGCTCTCTTGACCCGACGTTGCAGGTGTTTGCAGGTGTTGACCAAACTCCTATGGTCTCGGGTGTGCAGGTGCATCTCTTTCCTGCCATTACGATTCGTATTGTGCTGGGTGAGGTTGAGGGTTCAGATTTAGAAGACCTCGGTCAGCTTCTTGCTACCGATGAGGTGTGGAGACAGGTTGCTGTTCTTGAGATCGGAGCGCGTGAGGGTGCATACTGTGTGGTCTTGCGTTCTGGCGGTCGCCTTTATCTCGCTGATGTTGCACAACCTTTGCAGTACCGCAGACACTTGGCTGCGTATGTCGGTATGCCTGAGATGGCGCTTGCCATATTCCCTGCGGCCCCGCGAGTTGGGAATATTGCTGTTGATGGGTACCTTTGTTGCACTGTGCTTGCCGTGGCATCCAGGGCTTTGTTGCCAGAAGGGGAGTTCTGCTTTCTGGTTGACTGTCGGCCACTGCTCCAAGGTTGGATGTACTTTTATTCCAGTGCACAGCAGATCCCCTTTGCACAGGTTCTTCAGGTCTTGAATCAGGAGGCCCCGCTTGGTTGGTGTGTCGAGTTGGATGGACGCAGGCAGCTGCAGGATACTCTTCCAGGAGAAGCGGGGCAGGTGCTTCTTGCGTGCTATGTTCCCGATGGTGAGCATATTGAGAATGATCCTGGGGGGTTTGACGCTGAGGAGCTTGTTGATTTTCATGCGTGGATTTGGGGTCATGGATTCACTAGGGGCGCTGAGGTTGCGAATGTTGCGCCGGACACTGCGGATGACTCTGCCAGCTGGTTTGGAGCCACTTTTCTTGTGATAGCGTATGAGGTTGTCACAGAAGTTGTTCGGGTAGACTTGCAGGCGTCTGCCACGCAATGGCAAGCATTTGCGGAGGTGAATGCCGCTAGGTCAGCGATTCATAGGGAGCGCTTTCCTGCGCTTGTTGAGGCCTTCCCGCAAGTTGACACTGCTTTTGGCGTGCTGGTTGCTCAGCCGGTGTGGCTGCGTGACGAGGCCATTGTGGTTGTTGATGGCAGACATGTCGATAATCGATTGTTTGCTCTCCTTTCTGCCCGGCGTACCAGTGTTGGCTCGCTTCTTGCGAGTGCAGGCTATGCCCATGAAGAGGTGCTTGTGTACGTCAGGGATGACCCATGGCCCAGCTCTCGCGATGTCATTCTGGAAGTGGCCAGCGGTGATCTGGTGATTGTTGCTAGGGTCGATCATGGCATGCTTGTCACTGCAGTGTTGGCGGACATGCTGATGTCGGCGAGTGGTTGGGACGAGGAAGTTTACATTCCTGAGTTCGCTGAGGATCACGCCTGGGTGCTCGCAGAGACGGAACCCTTTTGTGTGCCGATTCCTCAGGGCATTGGAGAATCCCTGCGCGAACATCTTGGACAGATGCTTGGCGTCGATGAGTACGATCTCTTTGTGCAGGAGGCTAGGCCGGAGGTTCGGGATCATGCGGAGCGCGGACAGCCTACTAGCATGGTTGTCATTGCAGTGCCGGACTCCTTTCGTCGTCGAGGGGCGCGTCAGGGAGCCGTTTGCGTATTGGATTTACGCGCTCTCCTCCTTGGCATTACGTGTGTTCTCTTCGAGCGGGGCCTTCTGGTGGAGACTGAACTCTGTCGTCGCTTTCCCTTTTGCCCGGATGGGTTCCGAGTTATAGTTAGTGGCGGTCATCCAGGGATTGCCTTGCCACTTGGAACGCGTGAGGTGCGGGACGGTGATGTCCTTCGCGTCTCTTTTCAACGGCTTGTGCAGGCTCCGGCTGATCCGGTCCGATCACAGGATGTTGATTTCCCTGATGGTGATGATGAGGTGATTGAGGCAGGGATACAGGTTTCGAGTGCCACTTCGCAAGGTGATCATGAGCTGCTGGGTGGGGGTCGGCTTGCTTGTCTGTCCGTGGATGGGTCGCGGGACATGGTTGGACAGAGCAATGTGCGTGCGAGACGCCGGCGAGGTCATGGCTTGTTTGGACCCTTTGCTCGGACGTGTATGGTTGCCATCTGGATTTCCGGTTGTGCCGAGACAGTCGCGGCGACCCAGCAGGCTGGTTCGCGTCAGGCCGAGGAAATGGGGTCGTGTTTGGGCGATGCTGCTGCTGGCATGCTCCGGGATGCTCTCCGGAGTATTGCTACGCCGTGTCGTGCTTATGTTTTGCCTGGAGAGGTCTTTGAGGTGGATACGGCTGCTTGGGACCTGGTGGATGGGCCCACTCTGCTTGAAGAGTGTTATGCCGCGGATGACTCAGGTCTTTTTGAGGCTCGTGTCGTGCTTGAGGCCTTGTTCGAGCATTTCCGTGCTAGGTTTGATGCCGCGGACGATGCGGCCAGACAGGTGCAGGGAGCTATGGCCATGGGGGACAATGACCGCGTCTTGGGGCGTGACCCGTGCCGTCTTAGTCTCTATGACCAGTTGGGGCTTGACATGTGTCCTCAGGTTGCCGCTGCTGGTCCGGAGCGTTTTGAGGTTGATGTGGGCCAGTGTGTGCTCCCATGCTCGGTTGGGCACGTGCAAGAGCTATGTATACCTTTGGCCTTCTCTGCTCTTCAAGGCGTGCCACCAGGTGTTGAGCGTCCTTTCAGGTTTCAGGATTGGGTCGAGGTAGGATGCCGTGGACGGTCATTGGCTCCGGGAGAAGCACTGATGCTTACTACTGATGGGTCGTTCTCATCTAGGGACGGTGTTGCCGGATGGGGATTGGTTGTTAGTGCGATTGATGCCAGGGGCGCTCTGCCAGGGTGCTTTCTTGGCTGTGCCTTCGCCCCTTTTGAGGAGAGTTTGCTTGGAGCTGGTGTCGGCAGGGCCCAACCTGATGCATACTTTGCTGAGGTTTTGGGACTTCTCTGGGCGGCCCTCTTTGCCCTTCGTTTGCCTGTTCCCGGTGATGTAATTATGCGTGCTGATAACATGGCAGCGCTTCAAGGCGTCGAGGGGGTTGTCGCGATGAAGTCGCATCCTCTTTGCAGCTTGGCCAGAAACCTGCACGTTGCTCTGCGCATGCTTCATGTTGGTAAGGTCATCTACCAGCATGTCCAGGGGCATTCAGGTGACCCTGCCAATGAGCTGGCTGACGGGGTTGCTGGTCTCGGCGCCAAGACCGGCCGATGCCAGGTCCCTTTTGCAGTCGAGTTCACTGAGTGGCTACAGGACGGAGCGGCAAGAGCGAGATGGTTGCCGCATGTCTGTATGACGCTTTCCCAGCAGGGCACCCTTCCACCGTTGCGTGGGCCTGTTATGTCATGGCATATGCATCAGAAGGTGCCTTTGATGCCGGCCTCGCAGCTGCTGGCTCCTTTTGTTAGGGGCCTTCAGGTTGACAAAGGTCGTGATGATGGCAGATTGCAGTGTCTTAATGTGACGTGTGCATCGTATAATGCGCTTTCGTTGTTGCAGCCTTCCCAAGGCAACAAGGCTGCTGAGGCAGGTTTGCATGGTGCAGAAGGACGCGTTACATTGTTGAGTGATTCGTTGCATAAGCACAAGCTTTTTGTGGTTGGCTTGCAGGAGACGCGAACGCCTAGAGGTAGCAGTCAGACAGAGCACTATGTGAGGTATTGCTCGGGCTGCACAGATAGACGCGCTTATGGCGTGGAACTCTGGGTTGCGCGCGGCCGAGATTGGCCAACGCATCAGGCTGTTGTCTTGTTTGCAGATTACACCAGATTGATTGCCAGTGTCTCGTTTGCGAGCTTCTGTGTGCAGATCCTTGTGGGTCACGCGCCCCATCGAGCGTACGCAGAGGAGGCGCGCAAAGCTTGGTGGAATGAGACAGCAAGGTTGTGTGCTCAGTTCCGGCAAGTAAAGGAATGGCTTGTCTTGGTGGACGCCAACTGTAGGGTTGGGTCATTTAGTTCCTCCTGGATAGGCAGCTGGCAAGCGGACGAAGAAGATTGTGCAGGCAGACTGTTTCATTCACTTGTTGAGGATTTGAGTGTCTGGTTGCCGAGTACGTTTGAAGCCTCTATGAAGGGTGCAGGCGGAACCCTGTTGCAGCGGCACACTGGGGAAATGCATCGGAGCGACTTTGTTGGCATTCCGGTGAGTTGGCGTTCTTTCGGGGCCTCGGCGTGGGTAGCACCGCGTGTGACGGCGGGACATGCGGCGCCAGATCACTTTGCCGTCGTTGTTAGTTGCCAGCTTGTCCTTGCGGGGACTCCGGAGCGTCGCAAGATTTCCAGGATAGACCCGCGTGCCTTGCTTGACCCTGACAATGAGGCAAAGATTCGGGCCGTTTTGCAAGAGATTCCTCAGGTGCCGTGGGAGGTGAATGTCAATGAGCACGCTGCCATTCTTTCTGAGGGATTGCATACCCGGCTGGTCGAACTCTTTCCGCTACAGGCTAGAAGGATGCGGGCGTCGTTTCTTACGGAAGAAACTGCGCATGTGCATGCGGAAATTGCCAGGCTCCGCCATGACCTTCGCCGACGCTTGGTTGTTCTTGAAGGGGCTCGTCTGCGTTGTGCTTGGCTTGCTTGGAGCAGCGCCGGCGAAAGGTTCACGGAGCTTTTCGAGTGTAGTTGGACGAGGCAGGTCAGAGCTGCTGTTGCTGACGCGGCGGCTCGCATTGGTGGGCTAGGCAAGCTCTTGCGGCGCCTATGTCGGCGCGATAAGCGTCAACATATCCGGGGCCTTGCGTCTGAGGTTGGGTCTGTTGGCCCGTCCGAAGTGCACACTGCTTTGCGACGAGTTTTGCGGCCACGCAAGTTCCGGAGGGCTGGGGGACGTCCCCTGCCGCTTCTCAAGCGGCCGGATGGCAGCGTTTGTGAGTCTCTGGACGCTGTGCAGCAGGAATGGCGTCGCCACTTTGCAGAGTTGGAAAGTGGTGTTGAGGTTGACATTGGCGAGCTTGCACAGCAGTGTGTTGAGCGTCAGCAAAAGGTTGGAGCGCTGGAGTGGCTCGACAGTTGTGATCTGCCGGACTATGAGACGGTTGTGCAGACGATAAGGCAGGTCAAGCCTCTCAAGGCGTCTGGCCCGGACATGTTGCCGCCGGCAATTTGCAAGAAGTTTGCTTTTGACCTCACGGCGCTTGTGTGGCCAGTGATTTTGAAGTCGCTGGTCTTTCGTGCGGAGCCCGTCGGGTACAAAGGTGGTACCTTGTACCACATTCCAAAAAGCGGGAATGGTGGTTTGCCCCTGTGCACATCAGATCGCGGAATTTTGGCACAACCCATCCTGGGCAAAATACTGCACAAGTCGATACGCGGGCTGGCTTTGAGAGGATTGGACAAGCGTGCTTTGGACGTTCAAATTGGCGGCAGAGCAGGAATGAGCTTCATGATGGGCTGCTACTGCACGAGACTCTTTCTGGACTACGCAAGAACATATTCCAAATCGGCTGGAGTTTTGTTCTGTGATTTGGCCTCGGCGTATTATGCGGTTGTACGAGAGCTGCTGCTTGGCAAGGACCTCACACATGCCACGCTAGAGGAAGTGACAGAGTCTCTGAAGTTGACGAGCGAGGACTTACAGCTTTTGAGGGCGTATGTCGATCATGAGGTCATTCTGAATGAAGAAGGAGACGAGTCCGTCCTTCAGGCCCTGGCCAGGGAAGTGCATACGCACACCTGGTTTTGGCTCTGTCAGGACAGCAAGTTGGTTATGACTAACGGTTATGACTAGACGAGGAACAAGGCCGGGGTCGAGTTGGGCTGATGTACTGTTCGGCATTTTGTTTGCGAAGGTGTTGCGTCGCAGAGGAGATTTTGCGGAACAAGGACTATGCCCACAAATTCCCTGGTCAGGGCGACGTGAGCTGGTGGCGTTCGATGCGCGGCGCAAGGGCTGCGTCCACACGCGAGTGCAAGATGTCGTGTACGCGGACGATCTCGCGACATGTATTCTTGCAGAGTCAGCGGCTCTGTTGCCTTCTGCGATCCGATTGGTAGCAGGCACACAGCTCGACACACTTGCTGCTCATGGCCTGCGTGCCAATCTTGGCGTCCGCAAAACTGCCACCATCATGGTGCCAGCTGGTGCTGGTGCCAAGCAGGTCAGGCATCAGGTTTTTACGCAAGGCAAAGGCAAGTTGCACATTTTCCGCGAGAATGGAGGTGCTGTTGTGCTTGATGCTGTTGCGTCTTATCGGCATCTTGGTACGGTTTTGACACATAATGGCACGTTTCTTGTTGAAATCCGCACCAGGTTGGCTGCTGCCCGTGCTGCGTTCAAAGAGGGCCGACAGGCGGTCTTCTGTTCACCCTGCATCGCGCTGGATCGCAGAGTGTTTCTGCTGAAGACTTACACAGTGGGCCGGTTGACTTGGG